CCAGGCAGATCTGATCTGTCTACTACCTGGTACCATCAATTAATTTGTCTTCAGGTATGCCTTTATTTCTTTCTTTGCCTGGATATGGGGACACACTGAATTAGGCGGTAAACTTTCTGTAGCTCTGTCTAAATGGGAGCCTTTGTGACTCAGTGAGTATAACACAGGACTACTATAGCCATGGAAAGAAATAGAAATGAAATGGGGTTTAACGTCCGGGGCTAATGATGACAGTGACTAACCAAGAAGTGTCGATTTAGATTCCGGTGTTCACCGAGAAAATTCATCGGGATTTTTCAGCCAGGTTTCCACTTGTTAGTGGTGCAAGGCGCTGGGGGGGGGGGGGGGGGCTAGTTGGTGGGATGGTACGTAAACCGAGGCCCGAGGTCCGATGGTACGTAAACCGAGGTCCAGTTATAATTAAAGATCACTTAATCGATGTAAGTGTAAGCCGTAATACCTCTGTAACTACTAATTGCTCTCACAGCACATTGCATGGCTTCAGCCCACCTTCATTAGCCAGAAACCTCGTGGGTTTTCTCCGGGTCCTCCGGTTTCCTCCCACTGCTAAAAGACCCCTACGCGCAAGCGAATTATTGAAATAAAATTAAACCATATGTTAGTCCCGAAATGACCTAGTTTGTGTCGAGTGGACGTTAAACCCCATCTTTCTCTCTCTCTCATTAGCCAGAAATGTAGGGCGTTAAACTCCATCCATTCTATTTGTATTATGGCGTGTTACAGTTTCAAATTTGTATTATTTGGTTGGCCAGATATAGAAGGGTATTTGATATGTTTTTAGAATATTATGAATTTATTATTAAGATATTTTAGTCATCTCAATTTACGTATTTAAAATGCAAATATAGTTTAAATTATACAGCCCGGCGAACACTATATACGACCCCCAAATCCCCTTGTTATATTGACTCCCTTGTTGAATATTAGAACCTATTAGGGTTCCTATACAGGGTTTTTATACATGCTGTTTGTAAGACTATAAATTAGAGATTAGAATGAATAAATGCCCAACAACATGTTGTATAACTGAGTAGGTATAATATATTATCTTTACATGTCTCTCTGTAATATATTAACTCAGTCGTATTCAATTACATATTCTTATGTACAAGTATATTAATTCGTCAAGTCTAGGTAAATATTTGTTAATTTTTCTCTTTTTTTTTTAAAACTTAACTCTTTTGTACTGAAGGATTTTTTTTATTTATTACATTCGACACACATTGTTATATAAGGTATTTGCTATAATATCCTATGCGCCGCAATTTGTGTGTGATATATGTGTTGAACATCTAGAAGTGGTATAAGCTGTTCTATAACGAGCACATGCCACTACTCATAGCCAAGTGGTTTTGGAGAGAGAGAGAGAGAGAGAAATGGGGTTTAACGTCCACTCGACACAAACTAGGTCACTCCGGGACTAACATATGGTTTAACTTTATTTACATAATTCGCTTGCGTTTAGGGGTCTTTAGCAGTGGAAGGGACCGGAGGACCCGGAGAAAACCCACGAGGTTGGACAGGTGACCCTACTCCTTGCCACGTACAACCGGGGATTCGAAACCACGCCAGTTGACTCAATGACAGAATGTATGATACAGCGCGCGCACGCTAACCATTCAGCCATCCACCCCCCCAAGTGGTTTTGGACCCAGATTGTTTCAAAAAGAATTCTTCCACCAGAGATAAAGTCAATCTTGCAACTCGATTTTCAGGTTAAGCATTTTCGACTGTTGTAATGCTTTCTCACAAATTACTTCATTTATCCTTTTCTTTGGGTTGCCTTTTCTACAGACAGCTTCTGGAATCTACATCCAAACAATTTATGTATAAATATATGTAACACTTCTTTCAAAATACCTTATTTTAATATAAATATTCTTGATGAGTTCAACTAGAAACAGTAAATATCTTTAGCAGGTATAAAAGCTATAAGTAGGGGGGGGGGGTTATTTTACAACTTTTGGAGGGGGCCCCGAAAAACTTCATATTTAACACCACACTCTAATGGGATTAATATTCTAAAAAAAGGGAACTGAAGAAATGAAAGAAAAGATTGGAATTTTTTATTGTAATTTCATATTATTGTCCTAAAATTGATTAAAACTTTACCTGCTATTATTCTAGCAGTTTGGTCTAAATATAGATTATTGTTCATTAAATTACAATATGATGTGACACATACATTGATAGTGAAAATAGTTAAACAGATTTGGATTCAAATTTTAAATGAATAAAAAGGAAGATAAAAAAGGAAAGACATGTTGATTGTTTTCTGGTTTGTTTCTCTATTCTACAAATACGGAAGAGAAAACTTATTAATTTTACCTTTAATAATATTTTTATTGTTTTATACAAGGAAATATTTATTTGAATCAATTATAACATTGACACCGTTTGAGATACCAATTCATAAACTTTATATAGAGCTAAATTTACCACAAATAGCATTACTAATTGTTTAACAGATAGCCTATATAAAGACGACATCTTAATTATATCATTACTAATTGTTTTACAGATAGCCTATATAAAGACGACATCTTAATTATATCATTACTAATTGTTTTACAGATAGCCTATATAAAGACGACATCTTAATTATATCATTACTAATTGTTTAACAGATAGCCTATATAAAGACGACATCTTAATTATATCATTACTAATTGTTTTACAGATAGCCTATATAAAGACGACATCTTAATTATATCATTACTAATTGTTTTACAGATAGCCTATATAAAGACGACATCTTAATTATATCATTACTAATTGTTTTACAGATAGCCTATATAAAGACGACATCTTAATTATATCATTACTAATTGTTTTACAGATAGCCTATATAAAGACGACATCTTAATTATATCATTACTAATTGTTTTACAGATAGCCTATATAAAGACGACATCTTAATTATATCATTACTAATTGTTTTACAGATAGCCTATATAAAGACGACATCTTAATTATATCATTACTAATTGTTTTACAGATAGCCTATATAAAGACGACATCTTAATTATATCATTACTAATTGTTTTACAGATAGCCTATATAAAGACGACATCTTAATTATATCATTACTAATTGTTTAACAGATAGCCTATATAAAGACGACATCTGAATTAATTTTATAAAATGGTTTATATTTAATTGTTGTAATTTGAGGATATGATTTATTTAACGACTCAAGTTGATATTGTTTATTAAGGATTTAGGTCAAAGACCCATAGATCTAAATCATAACACAATAAAGTGGTCAGATAGACAGTGGTATGGTATGAATTGGTCTTAGTTTTAGAGATACAATAAATAACTTTACATTACCAACAGACTGAGAATATCATATAAGCGAAACCTAGAGAACTTAACAAAATTCTTATTTTGGTTGCCCAGGTGTCTCTACCTAATTCACCAAGTTTATATAACATAAGATAACCTGTTATGGGACATACCAATTAACGTTGTCCAATACTTTATACAGGATATCATGTATGAAACAGACAAGTTTAAGGCTCAGAGTGTAATGGAGCTCTTATGGATTACTAATACATACTTGACAAATTTGGAGTGAATTCGTTCAGTGTCACTGCGGAACTCGAATCCCCAAACCTGTGAGAAAAAAGTGGTATTGGTTTGATAATTGCGTCAAAAATTTTGAATGAGAGTTCAATGGATGGATTTGTTTTCTGAAATAAACATTTGATAGGGATTAATGCCTTTTCAGCCTTCACTGACAAATTATACAGAGCCTTGTTCCATGACAACCTTGATGAGAACAGTATGCCTAAATAGTCATAGTACGTTATAACCTTTCATTATTCCTTAGCGCTCCCCCATTCCTAAATACAACAACCTTGATTTTTGTGTTGTTCACTGATAAATTAAATTCAGTATAAAATATATCCAAAATATTGATTTTTCTCTGCAAATTACCAACTGAATCACCTTAAATACCAAGGTCATCTGCATATAGCAACATAAGGATATCATCAATTTCCATAATATTAACCAACTAGTTTATATAAAACCAAAACAAAAAAGGACTAAGAGTGCATCCCTGCCTTACACCAGAAACACATACAAAAAGGGAGTGAGTCGGTTCCCAATTTTGGCACATGAGGGGACTGAACTGTACATGGGCTAGGGTTAGGGTTAGGGTTGGCCACAACACCATTTTGTAAGCGTAGGGACAATAGTTTAGACCGATGAATCGAGTCAAATGCCCTGGAAAAATCGACAAACAGTGTATAGAAGTACCCTCTGGGTTTGGACAGATACCAAACAATGTGAAGATCATTATGGTCCACAGTTTAATGACCTTTTCTGTAGCCAGTTTGGGCCTCTTTGTATTTGTTTTCCGATTCACATCATTTTTGAAGCCTGCAAATGAGAACAGCACTATAAAATTTACCGATACAATCAAGCAGCGAGTTTCCTCTGTAATTGTTTGTATCGTTTTTTGAACCTTTTTTATGTAGTGGTGCGACAAGTGCCTTAGACCATGAGTCGGGAAAACATCCCTCATCAAATCCCTTATTGAATAATAAAGTAATAGCCGGATTCCATCCGGACCGGGCGAGGTTCCTGGCTTCATGATCTTGATTCATTGCTTGAAGTGTTTATTGTTATGTTAACAACAATAGTTACCACCCTATATAATGTATTGTAGGTTTACCACCTTATATAATGTATTGTAGGGTTATTGTAGGTTTACCACCCTATATAATGTATTAATGTCATCATATTTTTTTTCCTAGTTTTGTTGTATGGATGAATGTCTCCACCGATCGGGTTAATGACGGACATTTTGCCTGGACGTCAATTGGATTCCAACTGTCAAGGGTTCTTTCGCCACTAACAAGGTGAAACCACGCTGACAATTTCCAGGGAACTTTATAATCCAAAGCTGGAATGGAATCCCGGACCACCGATTCTCCTCCATTTATAACGTGATCAAACAATATTTTCAATTGAAGCTTTACAATTAATTTATTAACACAATAAATAAATAAATATAATACATCACGTGACCAATGTACTCCTATATAGATTCACAATATTATATTCATTATGTATATTAATATAATAACAACTATGGAAATATAAAGACAGAAATCATAAATATCTTCTACAAGCCGATTTATCTCCCTTAGTTTAATTCTGCTTACTCTCTCAGGCGCCAGGTTTGCGTTTTGTATGTTTTCATACGCTTTTGATAAAAATAACGCCCATCTACAAATTTCTGTAATATCACACAAAGGCTCGATTTATTATCATATTTTATAGAGACAACAAAATACAAAAGAGACATCAATGAAAGATTATCTTTATCAGATATGATGGGATGATGGTACAGTGTTGCGATAAAGTCTAGCTCACAACCAGCCGTACGTGTTTTAACATGCACGGGTCGTGGGATTTGGTAGCTCGCAGGGTAGCCTCAAGAAACCGGGTTAAAATTTTGTATTTGTAGGCCAAAACCTCTACGGCCAGTCTGTGATCGTCTACGGTGCCGAACAAATGCAAGTGACGCGTAGGTGTTACGCACGGGTCGACTATGATTTCCCCCTCAAACAGCCCATAGTAGGACGTGAGATAGAGAGAGACATGGGGTTTAACGTCCACTCGACACAAACTAGGTCATTTCGGGACTAACATATGGTTTAATTTTATTTCAATAATTCGCTTGCGCGTAGAGGTCTTTAGCAGTGGGAGGAAACCGGAGGACCCAGAGAAAACCCACGAGGTTGGACAGGCGACCCTATACCTTGTCACGTACAGCCGGGGATTCGAAACCACGCTAGTTGACTCAATGGCAGGCCTTATGACACAGCACGCACGTGCTAACCATTCGTCCATCCAACCCCCCGTAGTAGCACGTAGTTGCACATACGGCAGGTTTACGAACTAGAGAGCTGTATTACTAGATAACGTAAGGACATAAGCTAATCTAGAACAATGAACTTACATTGTGATTTTCAAGATTAAAAATCATTATCTATTCCAAATGGGTTTATTAACATCCGTTGACCTACATTCCACGCTCATGCGCACTTGTTTACATTACAATAATCAGTGAAATATGCAATCATAAAATTGCACTGTTTGCTCATATGAAAGGAATCGCGACCAACAGATTAGAGAGGGGGTGGGCTAAGAGTCAAATATTCCACCATTAATTCTATTTTAAAACAGCTAGTTACAATCATTTTGTATAATTTTATAAAGCAAAACACTTTTAAAGCGCATACGTGCTGTAGGAATAAATATCTTCAATATAATAAGTTTAAGACACCATTACAAGGCGTGAATACATCATAATATAAAACATGTAACACATTTAGTCACGGCAGCGTTATTGTTCACATGATGCCAGCACCTCTACCGTGTTACACATACATAAATATCTCACAAATGTACACATGTATATAAGCAGAAAAGAGACAAATCTTTGTCAAGCTAAAATAATGGAATTATTATAAATACCAATTTTCCATTTTACCGAAATTGTCTATTGTATTGTGTATTTTAAGTTACTGGTTCAGAGTTTATTATAAAGGACAGTATGACAATATTCTATATTTGGCTAGCCTTTTAAGAAAGAATGTTTTTAGAATTATCTGGCTGGTTGATAATATGACAACCACCTGGGTCTATAGCTAAAACCATCGCCATGCACATATATTATATAAATTAAAGTTTTACTCAAGTGCCATTTGGGTTTAAATAAGTATTTTGTGAGTAAATGAAGTTCAGGTGTTCAAGATATATTTTTTTTTTTAACAATATAAAAACTTTGAAACGACCGACTTGGGTTGAAACAGTTTCTCTGACTTCTTCATCAAACAAATAAAATTAAAGATAAAGAATTTAAAGTACAAAGTTATCCGTTGAAAATCTCTTATTTAAATTATCTTTAGCCATGTTCAACTTAAAATCTGAGGTCGGAGGTGACGCCATATAACTACCCCCCCCCCCCTCTTATAAGATCGTTTTACCGTTCAATCTTGTAATGTATGAGTCAATTTAAAATCAGATTCTAAATAAAATATAAAATATAAAGTATGCAATCGTTGGAAATGTCCTTTAAAATCCGTGCTTTTTATAACTAGTTCGCTAATAACTAAAAATGGTGGCGATCGTTTTGTCCTGAGAAATTGTAAATATTATCTTCACACGTGGTTGTCATATTTTGTTGTTTAATGAATAAATAAACACAGAATAAAAAACTAATTACCCAGCAACATAAATATGTGTTGTATTTCACTTGTACTGGTGCAACCCAACGCACAGCTTAGCTATCAGTAGTGACGAGTGTCAAATACGAGACAGAGTATGCTTTCCCTTTCTGGAACACCTGACAGCACTTCTCATATGAGGCGTTCATCTAGCTAACCGACTTTTGTTTTACTTTTGTATTTTTTGTTCCATTACATCACACATCAAATGAATGTCAAGCACACCAACACACAATATCCGCCATATTTATAACAAGCTTGTCGTCAAGGAAAAACATAATTCAGCAAATCACGAAATTTCCAATGATATAAATTGTTGGAAACTTGAAGAGCGTTTGGTTTATATGTTGCCTGTGAAATCAAGTGTAAGTAGGATTTGTTACTTTTAGCAAATACAGATTCATCATATTTTTAATCTTAACGATAAAATTTGACTTCCGATTCAGTCAAATCTTTAAACAGGTCGTTTACTTCATCTAATTTTGTCTTGTCAAAATTCTGTAAATATTCCGATACATCCAAAACACACTGAATTTCTAAACTTTTCATCGTCTGCAGTAGCCTTTTGCCCGTCTGGCTTCCACCTTCCATGAGTTCCCTCCCCTTTTCATGAGCTTTGTACAACATGTGACGTCTGTCGGCAACTGATTGGAACGTCGGTTTACCTTCCGGTGCTGGCGAGATGGTAACCTTGCCAATGGTCGGCTCCTCGCAGAAAATAAATGGTTTGAACACCGATAGACCTGGATTCGGGGTGCCAGTAAACCAGTGAACATCGGGAACCATGGAACCGTTCTTCGGTTGTAGAACTGAAACTTGACTAGACATGGTCTCCAACTCCCCGCTAAAATTGATGCTACTGGCCTCATTCCTTAGTAGCTGAAACATATTGTGCTGGGAAAATTCACCTGCAATATATGAGGTGATAGTCTTGAGATTCGAACACATTATTTAAGGTAAAATAAGGTTTAAAATGTGACGATTTTAACCTATAACCCCCAGTAGACTATATACACACCTGTTTCTATTTAACAGTGACGCACCTGTTTCTATTTACCAGTGAGGCATTGTGCACGTAAAACAGGTAAATGGTAACTTAAAACGTTCATATCTCTCTTAAATTTTGAATATTTAATTCAAAGGTGTCTGGTGTAACCCCCCCCCCCCTCCTCTTTTCAATCGATGAAAATAAGATACAAAAAAAATTTATAATTTGGTTCGTCCTCAAATCTGCCACCAACTCATTTAAATAACCGGGAGAAAGCGCCAGGATTAACCACGGCACCAGGAGAAAGCGACAGGATTAACCACGCCACCAGGAGAAAGCGTCAGGATTAACCACGCCATCAGGAGATGGCGTCATGATTAACCACGCCTCCAAGAGATAGCGCCAGGATTAACCAGGAGAGAGCGTCACCAGCAGGAGAAAGCGTCATGATTAACCCATCACCAGGAGAAAGCGTCAGGATTAACCACGCCACCAGGAGAAAGCGTCAGGATTAACCACTGCCACCAGGAGAAAGAAGAACAGACTGCTGGGAACTCGGTGATTATGGGGCTGACTCCAGCCTGGACTCTACTTGCCAGTGATACAAGAACAAGCGTCTAATTATTCTGTTGAAAATAAGACGTTAAACCCCATTGTATATATATCACAAAACAAACCTTTTCTTACCGGGTTTGGCTAATGTCTGTAGGAGTTGTCTCCCCTGCTCTAGTCTGTTTTCAGCTTGTTGTTTATCTGATAAAGATAAACCACTGAAAGATGAATGAAATGTTTTAAAGAAATTAAAATCTCCCTGGTCAGGTTTATAAAGTCCAGCTTTCTCTGCCTCTTCTTGTAATCCATCAGAACTTAAATCAAAATCTGATTCTATGGACAACATGCTGGTGATATTATGGGTCCCGTCTGAAACATAAAATAACATTGATTTCATGAAGTCCATAGATAGTAGAATGTATAACCTACAGCTTGCACATTAACCCACCCGGCCACTTAACCGCCAGATGAAACAAGAAATTAAACCCACGTACAAATAAAATAGAGAGAGAGAGAGAGATACAGAGAGAGAGAGAGAGAGAGAGAGAGGGAGAGAGCACAGTTGCCATTGGGTAAAATTAGGTAATACACAGGCTTCTGTTGTCTAACCTCAGTATATTGGGCTACAGATCATTATAGGATATATTATACAGATTTATCACTGCTACTCATTATTCTATATGTGTTCTATTCAACTTATCGACTAGCTACAGTCTCGGAACATAGCAATAAGTGGCACTAGGCCTTCTGACAATGATCCATATACCATGTCTCTACCCTGGCAATTATTTTGTTAGGAATCATAAGCTAATTGTGTGGATTAGACTTACTTGTTATTTTTTTGGCCACCCAGAAGAGACCAGCTGTATCAAGAACCCATGCCTCATGTCGATCGACCAACAGGTAACTATTGTGATACGTCCATTGACCAAAATTAGGATCCTCACAGCAATGACCACCTTGTCCATGTAACTTGAGTAATTCGGTTATAGCAACTAATGCTTCCTTAGCGGTCTTTCCTCTCTCTAAACCCAACCTATAAAATATCAAATAATCTACTCTTAAAATAGCTCATATATATCTATTTTATTGATGAATGCTCGAGTCCTAACTTGTTTCCTGTTGACGGCACGTGTAGTGATTTGTAGGATTTGTTGGATGCCCGAATGGTTAGCGCGTGCGCGTTGTATCATAAGGTCTGTCATTGAGTCAGCTGGCGTGGTTTCGATTCCCCGGTTGTACTTGAAAAGGAGTTGGATCGCCTGTCCAACCTTGTAGGTTTTCTCCGGGTCCTCCGGTTTCCTCAAATTGCTAAAGACGCCTACGCGTAAGCGAATTATTGAAATAAAATTGAAGCATATGTTATTTCTGAAATGACCTAGTTTGTGTCGAGTGAACGTTAAACCAACTCACGTCGAGTACTATCTGTATGTGGGCCTGTGTCACGGGTAACTTCCATTCGTTCCACAAAAAGTAGTCGACATTCGACATTCGACAGTTAAACGTCTTCATTTAGCCTAGAAGTAACAACACAACAAACCTTACAAAATCAACACCAATCAACTTTTCATTATGATCGCCTGGATGACATAATTTGGTCCATACTGATGTATTACCGATACACACACCGTGTTCGTTAGCGCCCATCTCCGCTCCCCATGTCCATGCTGCTTTACTCAGTACTACAGCATAGGTATGCGTCACCTGTTCCACTTCTATAAACGTGCACTGAAAAAACAGAAATATAATCAAGTGAAATATATTGAACAGCATCATATCAACAGGAGATAATCAGTCGGCTTGAGTTACATAGAGGCTCATCAAAAGATTATAGCTGGCGTTGGATTATATATCGGATCTGGCTAATTTTTCAATTGACCATATCTTTGTAAATACGCAATGGAATTATTTTTAGCAAAGACTGTAAATGGGATAATCACGTGGATATTTTAATTAGTAAAACCTCAATGATGGTTGACTGTCTGAGAAGTTTGAAATTTAGACCATCGCGTAAATCCTTTTATTCTTTCTGTATTTGATTATACTGATCTACAATAATACTACACAAGTACGTTCACAAAAAACCTCCACCCAGACGCGGGGAACCTCCCATAATACACTTTATACCCAATTCTCATCTTTATTAGTGTGACGTCATATTCATAAATTATTAATGTTTTATAAAATGGCAAATAACATGGCTCCCAATTATCTTTGTTGTCTTATTTCGCCAATTACCGCTTCCAACAACCCTTACAACTTACATAATCCCGACCACATTACACAAATCAAATGTAAAACTAATATTAATAAAAAAAAAGCTCCTTTTTGCCTTCTACTATAAAAATGTGGAATAGTTTAGATAATAATATAAATAGGGCTTCATCTGTCTCTGATTTTAAAATAAAACTGTATCCAACTTCATTCCCTCAAATTAACAAACTGTTTTTCTATGGTGAATGACAATTTCAAATTATCCGTTGCATGCTGCGTAACAATAAAACTGATCTAAGATACCATAAAGTTTCATATGCATATTTTTGACAATCCTGTGACAGTGATCTTGTCCTCGTTGTGGCGGTGATCTTGTCCTCGTTGTGACGGTGATCTTGTCCTCGTTGTGGCGGTGATCTTGTCCTCGATGTGACGGTGATCTTGTCCTCGATGTGACGGTGATATTGTCCTCGATGTGACGGTGATCTTGTCCCCGATGTGACGGTGATCTTGTCCTCGTTGTGGCGATGATCTTGTCCTCGATGTGACGGTGATCTTGTCCTCGATGTGACGGTGATCTTGTCCTCGGTGATCTTGTCCTCGATGTGACGGTGATCTTGTCCTCGTTGTGACGGTGATCTTGTCCTCGATGTGACGGTGATCTTGTCCTCGATGTGACGGTGATCTTGTCCTCGTTGTGACGGTGATCTTGTCCTCGATGTGACGGTGATCTTGTCATCGATGTGACGGTGATCTTGTCCTCGTTGTGACGGTGATTTTGTCCTTGAAACCACTGAACATCTTTTACTCTACTGTCCAAACTACACACTCCAGCGCAATAATACCACTCATGTAATACCAATGTATTTTAGAAATATTTGTAAAACTCTTTCCAAGTAATTTAAACTTACAAAACGCTTTACTTCATAAAATACAACCTTGTGGATTATTTATTTTTATTTAAAATTACTTACCATAACTAAAATACTTTAATTAGTTTTGGTCTATATCGTATATTATTCACCCAACCCAGCAGGAAGTAAATTAATATATATTAGCCGACCTGCCTTCTTATTTCAAATACTTTAAAATGTTATTAAACTGGTGTCGGCATACCTTTTATCTTTTCATCGTTTACCGTGAAACAAAGTAGTGCAGCTCAGTCTGATTAAAATACAGATCTATATCTCGTATCGTTTTGTATACTTTATATAGCCTCCGCTACATGAACATCTGACCGGTTGTAGTGGAAGGTCGCGTCAGGGGTCATATGAGTGGCTTTTGACCCAATGACGCCAGACATTGACTAACCAATAAGCGTTGATGTTTCTAGCGGATTACCCACAGTTCCGTGCACAGCATGCAAAGAACTAACCGTAACAGACCGTTTCATTGGCTAATCCCTCACACCAACCAGAACGCAGGTTATTTTACAACTCTTCCAGAGTAAAGACAAGTAAAACGAAATTTTGAACTATAAAAAACGAAACGAAATAGGATCTGTTTTAACCAGATTGTGGATAACAGAAAGGAATTTAATTTATACTCCTGAAATTATTGCAAGCTTGTAGAGATATTATCAACATGACAGAGACGTGGCTAGGGAATATAAATCCACGAGTGAAATGTAAACTGATATTAGCCAACATATGAGAATCCACACTAACCATGTACTAATTGGCCAATTATAAACGGGGTGATTTTAAGATTTTATCTTCAGTGTATAGATATAATTGGCTACAATACACAGTCGTCTAACCGATATCATAGTTCTAATTTGTTTCATTAATTTTACTTAAATTTGACACATGACCACTGTTTATCTGTTGGCGAGCAGGACAAGACAGAACAGGGCCCTTTATAAAACTTTTGTTGTTTTATTGTATCAAATACGTCAATAAGAAACTGTGATTGAAAGTTGGGCCTATATATAAGGCTCTGGACAGAACACATTGCAGCAACAAAGCTCCACCGATATTTTGAATGCACGTGTATTAAAGATAGTTTTTAAGATTTGAAGGACAAACAGAAGATCAGGATTCCAGAAATAAAGTTTAGTCCTTTCAAGATCTGACTTCCTATACAAATAAAGTACGTTATATATCAACCCAACACTAACTGTTGGTTTTGTTACTGCTTGATATAAGATAGGTTGCCAGGCAACGAAACATACGCCCACAGCAGCTAAATCGTCCGGGCAGTCAACCAGAGCATATTCTTACTTTTTTCGGTAATGAAACATTTATACTACACTAAAATCTGATTAAGAGCAACAACTCATGAAGTAATTATCAGAAAATCATTAGAATTTGTTTGGTTTTTATAAAGTTCTGCCCAATGCTAACGTTTTGTATACAAAACTTTTAATATCATGGATTTAGCTGTTCAAGTCATAAAAATTTATTGAAAATCAATATACTTGTTCGTCTCAAAATCTTAAACTCTGTGTATCAATCTGAAGTCAATCGGATGATAACTTTAGCCTTTTAGAGCGGAAATTGTTGAAAATCAAGGGCCATAACACTGGCAGTAATTATCGGAAATCGCTGAAAACCAATAGGCTTCTTGGCCTCATGACCTTAAACACTGTGTATACATTTAAGGTCAATCGGATATTAACTTTTGCCTCTAGAACGTCCAGACGTTTTTTGAAGTGATCCGCAAGGGCCATAAATCTGGCAGTAATTATCAGAAATCGATGAAAATCAATAGGCTTCTTCGTTTCATGACCTTAAATACTGTGTATAAATTTAAGGTCAATCATATATTAACTTTGGCCTCTAGAGCGTCCACAAGATTTTCAAGGTGATCAAGGGCCATTACTCTGGCAGTAATTATCGGAAATCGCTGAAAATCAATACGCGTCTTCGTCCCAAGACCTTAAACACTGTGTATAAATTTAAGGTCAACCAGATATTAACTTTGGCCTCTAGAGCGTCCACAAGATTTTTTGAAGTGATCAAGGGCCATAACTCTGGCAGTAATTATCGGAAATCGCTGAAAATCAATACGCTTCTTCGTCTCAAGACCTTAAACACTGTGTATAAATTTAAGGTCAATAGGATATTAACTTTGGCTTCTAGAGCGTCCACAAGATTTTTTGAAGTGATCAAGGTCCATAACTCTGGCAGTAATTATCGGAAATCGCTGAAAATCAATAGGATTCTTCGACTCAAGACCTTAAACACTGTGTATAAATTTAAGGTCAATTGGATATTAACTTTGGCTTCTAGAGCGTCCACAAGATTTTTTGAAGTGATCAAGGTCCATAACTCTGGCAGTAATTATCGGAAATCGCTGGAAATCAATAGGATTCTTCGACTCAAGACCTTAAACACTGTGTATAAATTTAAGGTTAATCGGATATTAACTTTGGCTTCTAGAGCGTCCACAAGATTTTTTGAAGTGATCAAGTGCCATAACTCTGGCAGTAATTATCGGAAATCGCTGCAAATCAATAGGATTCTTCGTCTCAAGACCTTAAACACTGTGTATAAATTTAAGGTCAACCAGATATTAACTTTGGCCTCTAGAGCGTCCACAAGATTTTTTGAAGTGATCAAGGGCCATAACTCTGGCAGTAATTATCGGAAATCGCTGAAAATCAATACGTTTCTTTGTCTCAAGACCTTAAACACTGTGTATAAATTTAAGGTCAATAGGATATTAACTTTGGCTTCTAGAGCGTCCACAAGATTTTTTGAAGTGATCAAGGTCCATAACTCTGGCAGTAATTATCGGAAATCGCTGAAAATCAATAGGATTCTTCGACTCAAGACCTTAAACACTGTGTATAAATTTAAGGTCAATTGGATATTAACTTTGGCTTCTAGAGCGTCCACAAGATTTTTTGAAGTGATCAAGGTCCATAACTCTGGCAGTAATTATCGGAAATCGCTGGAAATCAATAGGATTCTTCGACTCAAGACCTTAAACACTGTGTATAAATTTAAGGTTAATCGGATATTAACTTTGGCTTCTAGAGCGTCCACAAGATTTTTTGAAGTGATCAAGTGCCATAACTCTGGCAGTAATTATCGGAAATCGCTGCAAATCAATAGGATTCTTCGTCTCAAGACCTTAAACACTGTGTATAAATTTAAGGTCAATCGGATATTAAATTTGGCCTCTAGAGCGTCCACAAGCAATTCTGGACGCCGGACCGACGGATGGACGGGGGCGACGACAATATACGACCACATTTCAATGTGGGCGTATAAAAACGTGAACAAGGTTTCTCATGTATAATGTACATATCGGTACTTATAGTAATTGTTTCAACATACGAAAGTAATTATAAACCTTTTATAAAATTCAAGCTCTTCCTTTCGATTTGTTTAAAGGGTGTATGGTTAAAATAGACGAAGGTGGGTCTACAAGCATAAATTAAAGATACATTATGTAAGATTTAGATAAAGAGGTAGCCGTTCTTTCTATAATAGTTCGAAAATAGATAATGTAAAATGAATAATTTGAAAATTTCAACCACCGTACTGGGTGTTCGAAGCTATTTCTTGCTCCTCCAATTTAGCTTAAATCAAAATATGGCTGAACTGTTCTAATCTATTTAATATCGGAGAAATCCGATGCCATCGAGGGTTGATTATGGCCTAGATAAGTTAATTAAAGCTCTTGCATAATGTATGTTTAATGAAAAATGAATGTATATAAAATGATTTATATTTAATTTTTGAAAATGTTATTGTAATTTCTAATCAATTACGTTATGTTCAAATTGAACGACAGTCGTTTAGGTCTGCTTTACCCGTTCTACAATAGTTCAAATTAAACGACAGTCGTTTACGCCTGCTTTGCCCGTTCTACACATTTTTAACTGTTATTTTGTCATTTGTGAATCAGCTTTTACTAATTACTTCCGGGGATCACGGTGGCTAAGTGGGTAAGGCGCTGGCTCGCTAGCCTGGAGGTCGGGTGTTCGATCCCTGCATTGGCCGAGAAAGTTCATCCAGATTTTCCGGCGTGGTTCTCCCTTGTCAGTGATGCAGGACGGAGGGGCTGACAAGGACAGCTGTCTAGTCGTTCGGATGGGACGAAAAACCGAGGTCCCGTGTACACATTGGCGTGCACGTTAAAGATCCCTTGACAGTTGGAATTCGATATAAGAGTAGGCCGTAGTGCCGCTGTCCGGGCAAAATTTCCCTCATAGCACACTGTATGGCGTATGCCCGTCTTCATTAGCCCAGTTCGGAGCAAAACAGTAGGACGTTAAACCCCATTTCATTTCATTTCATTTCTAATTACTTCCACTTTGTCTTTTATCATATGTTTTTCTCTATTCATTACAAATGGCGCCCGAAACCATAAAACCTCGTGTATTGATTATAAAATGTTCATTATGTTTTAAATATTGGATATTTGATCCCATATTTTCACGGCAAGATAACAACGTCAATATCGATTAAAATGTACCATTTTAGTTATGCGGAAGTAATTATTGAAAAGTTATAATAAAATAATTCAATTCAAATTCAACGTATTTTATTATATGGGCCAGATGAGTTTGTCTTCACATAAAGGATAAACCCATGTACAGTAATAGAGTTTAACCCCGGTCATACAGTATAACACCTGTACAGTAATAGAGTTTAACCCCCGGTCATACGGTATAACACCTGTACAGTAATAGAGTTTAACCCTGGTCATACAGTATAACACAAGAGGCCTGTTTCACCAAATTTTAACTAAAATGAAATCCAAATTTTAGTAATTTGATTGGATAATATTAGATTCATTTTAGTGCTTGGCCAATCAAAATTGAAGTATCTACTAAAATTTGGATTTTATCTTTAGTTAAAATTTCGTGAAACTGGGCCCTGTACAGTAATAGAGTTTAACCCCCGGTCATACGGTATAACACCTGTACAGTAATAGAGTTTAACCCCGGTCATACAGTATAACACCTGTACAGTAATAGAGTTTAACCCCGGTCATACAGTATAACACCTGTACAGTAATAGAGTTTAACCGCCGGTCATACGGTATAACACCTGTACAGTAATATAGTTTAACCCCGGTCATACAGTATAACACCTGTACAGTAATAGAGTTTAACCCCGGTCATACAGTATAACACCTGTACAGTAATAGAGTTTAACCCCCGGTCATACGGTATAACACCTGTACAGTAATAGAGTTTAACCCCGGTCATACAGTATAACACCTGTACAGTAATAGAGTTTAACCCCGGTCATACGGTATTTTATTTCTATGGTTACCGTGAGAAAGGAGACATTTGCGAATCCATATACTCGAGTGTTGGGCCAGGGGAAATAACTGTTCAAGAATATGTAATAGCTTTAAGATTAGACAACAAGCCATTGTATTACCCAATGACAATAGAGATAATAATTGAACAGACTCTCTCTATGACTATAATAAAGAGTTCAGTCCCCTGACCACCAGATCTACATACGTATTTTATTTGATCGCCATTAAGCCTCGGTGTTTTCGTGAAATCAAATCAAATGAAATGGGGTTTAACGTCCTACTGTTCTGCTCCGAACTGGGATAATGAAGACGAGCATAAGCCATACAGTGTGCTATGAGGGAAATTTTGCCTGGACAGCGGCACTACGGCCAACTCTTATATCGAATTCCAACTGTCAAGGGATCTTTTACGTGCACGCCAATATGTACACGGGACCTCAGTTTTTCGTCCCATCCAGACGACTAGATAGCTGTCCTTGTCAGGCCCTCCGCCCTCTGCATCACTGATAAGGGGAAACCACGCCGGAAAATCTGGATGAACGTTCTCTGCCAATGCAGGGATCGAACACCCAAACTCCAGCCTAGGGTCTTACCCACTTAGCCACCCCCCAGCCCCCCAGCCTTAATTGAAATTGCAACGATCGACCAATAAACGAGGGTATCATTATTATTTAATATGCCTTTGCAGTGTTACCTGTAGTTTTGTTCCCGGTTCATAATCTTGAGAAGACTGATAAACAACCTCTTGGACCTCGGATGGTGGACGATCGGAATTTTTACCAAAAATAACACAACCTCCAGTAGCAGGGGGCAAGGCAACAAAAATATCCGACATTTTCCTCACTCAACACAGCAACACTGAAATAACAAAACAAAAACCATTAATAATCTTGAAAATATCTTCCATATTTCCCGCTATAGTTGAAATGGGTTGTATGGAAAGTAGAGATATCCAATCTTACTAGAAAAATACTGGATTCCCCGAAAAACACTCATAGAGTGTATACAGGACAAAAATGTAAGGGTTCCCCTAATCAACAGCCCGGCGATTAGGAATTTCTGCACGCGTGATGTCAAAGGTCACACGCGAACATTGAGCGCTTGATGTACAAGTTGATAAACTTTATGAAGAGTTAGACGTACAACACTTTCTGAGATCAAAATGACGGAAAAAGAAGCGGGTAGTGGATAATCCGAGAATTTAATTAGGATTCGATATTTGTAATAATTAGTAAGCGATTAAAGACAACATCGTCTTATGTATGCAATGAATTCTCCTCTGACGTAAACATGACCTGGTTTGATCGAATTTTTTTAGCAGGACATTCCTTCGCAATTACAATGTTTGAGAAGGATTTGAAGCATAATTATGACAAATTAATTAGTTTGTATATGTTTTAAGTACATATATACCATTAAATCACCCAGTTTGTACGCGGGAACCCATCTTTACACAGACGAATGTTAAAATCCTTTTAAATAAATAATAGTACATATATATATTACTCTAGGTTACAGAGTTCCAGACATTTTCTGCTCATTTTATACTAATTATTGCCATGGGACATTTCAAACTATCTATAGCCACGCGATATTTCCATAAACATAGATAATCGCATTGGATTGGCTGTTTATCGTCATAGATGACGTCATCCAATACGTCACGTGAGAAAATCATTATTATTGATACAACCAAAAACGTCTACAAAATCATAACAACAATGTGTTTTGATGTGGGCGAACCCATCTACCTATAGCTGAACAGATCGATGTGGGCGAACCCATCTACCTATAGCTGAACAGATAGATGATTTGTATGCATACATGGATACACATTAAGAATTAAAATTACTACCATGTTTTAATGGATTGATATAACGATATAAGTCAGTTCTGGACAAAGTCGAGGACCAGGATTATCAACTCCTGATCCTGATTACTGTCGAGGACCAGGCTTATAAACTCCTGATCCTGACTACTGTTGTTGATCCTGACTACTGTTGTTGTACATTACACTCATCTGGTTTCAATAGTCCCGCCTATTATTAGTCTCCATCGTCTAGTCCCAATTGTTAAAAAACGGTAAGGATAAAATGACAAACTCTCCGAGCCTGAGTAATAACAAACCCAAATATTCATTCCTATCTCATATACCAGCATATGTTGACTGTTGTAATCTATCCACCACACTATCTAGATGCTACAAAACCCAGGTGAGTCTGACTTCCGCTCACTGGCAAGTAATACAATATGTTACAATATGTTTCGAGGACGACAATTACTGACAGTAGCATTGATTCTAACACCGACCTGTACACCATATAAACATCATAGCAACTTACCTGACGATACAACATTTGAACTAAGAAAACTCTGTCATTATTAACACACTTACTCCATTATACAGAACAGTGTAAAAATACCTATATTCCACCCTGTATATAATACACAACAGTAGGTAAATAAACCCGCACCTGTTTATGGTATATGTGAGGTCAAGAACATTAATCGATATTTACTTGTATTCTTTAAACTTGAACATTCCTAGCATATTACTCATATCACGTGTTTATATATAGATCAATAATACTAAACATGTGTTTCAATCAACAATATCAATGAGTATTTTCTCTCACTCTATAAAATCATGGATATTTTCTACAGATGTATGTTATTAGTTATATTCATGGATTATTCTCACTATTTAACCCATATCCCCGTTCCTTTCATAGGCGTTTTATTATATAGTCTTTAGACATGAAACGGGGTTTAACATAGGCGTGTTATTATATAGTCTTTACAAATGAAACGGGGTTTAACATAGGCGTTTTATTATATAGTCTTTACACATGAAACGGGGTTTAACATAGGCGTTTTATTATATAGTCTTTACACATGAAACGGGGTTTATCATAGGCGTTTTATTATATAGTCTTTACACATGAAACGGGGTTTATCATAGGCGTTTTATTATATAGTCTTTACACATGAAACGGGGTTTATCATAGGCGTTTTATTATATAGTCTTTACACATGAAACGGGGTTTATCATAGGCGTTTTATTATATAGTCTTTACACATGAAACGGGGTTTATCATAGGCGTTTTATTATATAGTCTTTACACATGAAACGGGGTTTAACATAGGCGTTTTATTATATAGTCTTTACACATGAAACGGGGTTTAACATAGGCGTTTTATTATATAGTCTTTACACATGAAACGGGGTTTAACATCCTACTTTTCTGTATCAACCGGGCTAATGAAGAGGACTCCTTTACGTGTACACAAGACACTGGTCCTTGCCAGGTCCTTCGTCCTGCGTTAATGACAAGGGGGACCCCTTTTGTCCCACGCCGAGATTAAATACTGTCATTACGATTAGTCTATCTTACTAGTGTGGGATCTAACCCACGACCTGCATAGATAACGGGTCGTATTACATGCAGCGCACGTGTTATAGTCTACCTCTCGCCATCAACTCCCAAAACTATTTGGAAAAATTGCCAAATTGCGATAAACGTAAATTAAGAAAACATAGCCAGAGGTGTTTAATCTCATTTATCAAATTCCTTTCTACATATCATCACGTGTTGTCTCTTACTACCTTACCTGTCATCTGGTGTGGGTTGGAGGGGGAGGGGGTCTAACTACCTTACCTGTCATCTGGTGTGGGTTGGAGGGGGGGGGGGGTCTAACTACCTTACCTGTCATCTGGTGTGGGTTAGAGGGGGGGGGGGGGGGTCTAACTACCTTACCTGTCATCTGGTGTGGGTTGGAGGGGGAGGGGGTCTAACTACCTTACCTGTCATCTGGTGTGGGTTAGAGGGGGAGGGGGTCTAACTACCTTACCTGTCATCTGGTGTGGGTTGGAGGGGGAGGGGGTCTAACTACCTTACCTGTCATCTGGTGTGGGTTGGAGGGGGAGGGGGTCTAACTACCTTACCTGTCATCTGGTGTGGGTTAGAGGGGGAGGGGGTCTAACTACCTTACCTGTCATCTGGTGTGGGTTAGAGGGGGAGGGGGTCTAACTACCTTACCTGTCATCTGGTGTGGGTTGGAGGGGGAGGGGGTCTAACTACCTTACCTATCAACTGGTGTGCGTTGGAGGGGGAGGGGGTCTAACTACCTTACCTATCATCTGGTGTGCGTTGGAGGGGAGAGGGGTAGGGGGAAGGGGGGGAGGGTCTAACTACCTTACCTCCCATCTGGTGTCGGTTGGAAGGTGTGAGGGGGAGGGGAGGGGGCGTCTAATTACCTTCATTTACCCGCCATCTAGTGTCGGTTGGAAGGTGTGAGGGGGAGGGGAGACCCAACACGGACATCGAACCCGCTTCTAAACAAATTCTATGTGCACTACTAATTGGTACACGGCATCTATGTTTTCGTTTACAGAGCGATAAAATGATGATAGAATTAGGAACAAAATAACGACAACTTAATAAGAACCAGACACCCAAACGGCATGTATTTAATACCATAGCCTCCCAGTAGTTTAAACTAATAAACTACACTACAGCCTTAGGCTACATCTGAACTACGACATATTTTACATACAATTGATAGGTCGTTGGTTAAACAACGATTGATAGGTCGTGGTTTAAACAACGATTGATAGGTCGTGGTTTAAACAACGATTGATAGGTCGTGGTTTAAACAACGATTGATAGGTCGTGGACCTTTGATTTCAGAAACCCCTTGAATGCAGACCTTGGGGCTAACGATCATAAGTGACAAGACCAGATCTTACTGGCATGAAACAGATATCCAGTCGTGCAATATTTGAGACTGATCTGTCAATCCATTACTGAGATATGGAATGTGTGCAATGTTTGAGACTGATCTGTCAATCCATTGCTGAGATATAAATACTTTAGGATCCGTACACGTCGTACCAGTCACAGGTCGTACAAGTCGTACAAACCGCACAAAAAGCTCAGAGGACGCTTTTAAAAAATGTGTTGACCTACGTGGGTCAGTCTTGAACAAGATGCTGAGTAAATGATTGTTTTGAACAAATTGTTGAGCTGAATATAGAATTAAACTGGATTGATTCCAGGAATATATAACACGTGCTTGTATTTATGGATTGATGTTGCTATGACGCCATCGATTGGAGTAATTGGAACATAGAGAAAGTAAATAAATATAGTAATGATGAGCACGACGATGACAATGATGATGATGAGCAATAGATGATGAGATATTATGATGACGAAGATAATGTTGATCATTATCATAACAATAATGAAATTGACGATGACGATGATGATGGTGTCATCGATAACAATAACAAATCGACGATGACGATGTTGTCATGGATAACAATCATAACTAACGATGATTAATAATAAAAATGCCAATGACGCGAGACAGTGGACACTAATTGATGATGACGACGATGATTAATGATAAAAATGACGACGATGAGAGAAAGTGGTGTTAATTGATGATGAAGATGACTAAATCTGATGAGGACGACAAAGTTGAAAACTCTGACGAGTAAAACAATAATATAATAAATGATGGTTACGACGATGATGAAGATGATGATGAAGCTGATGAGTAAGAATCATGACAATAATAAATGACTATAGTTATGTCGTGTTTACCGTAATCACCAAGTCGACAACTGAACACAAAATTTTTGAACCAAATGCTAGAGGTTTAGTAATATTAAACTAGCTATGATGTCATTAAATATAGTTTTAAACTTGTGCTTTTCTTATTCAGACAGATGTTGGTGATGTCATTTATTCAGCCGTTGTTAATCAAATTTATCTAACCAACGCCCAATTCTAAACATTCTCACCCTTTTAGTGTTTGCCTTTAGCTAGCTTTAAAAACCAACACTGTAG